ATTGTTTAATGTTTTATTAATTTATATATTTTTTAATTGCATTCCGATAATGTCATCATAATTATTCGTCAACTTAACCTTTTATTCAATACAATTTTTCGATTTAAAAAATTACAACAATTATTGTATGTTGGACGGATATTTAGTAAAAAATACGACATACCGTCATCTCGATCTAACGATTATAATTTGAAATGTCTATGTAAGGATGCTTTCAACTAATATAGAGATGTGTTTCCTCCAAGTACATGTGTGTAACCCTGCAGATGTGTTTTAAATTTTGATCAGTTCTATTTTTTAATATTAAATCATCTTGAGACGAGTGCAATTTATATTATGACCATAATGTATAATATTGTTACAAATGTATAGATAGGAAAAAAGAAAATAATATATTATACCGTTGGCCGTTCAAGCTGGGCGCACGATAATGCAATAATTTTACTATATTATTATTTATTATGTTGCTATAGTTTCCAGTCTCAATGACTATATAGATCCATGCAAACTTACTTATATACAATATATTTTTATTAATTATTTTATCGGAAAAAATTGAGCACTCGGTCGCACGAGTTTTCGAAAAATCCGTATGAAATCATGCAAACGCATATTTTACCGGTTTGGAATAAAGCTTTACGGCGCCGGCTGTGGTAGTTGTGCTCAAAATAATTAGTTTCCCAAAACTCGCAAAAACATAATTCGAGACGACGATTTTACAATGGCATAATGTACAATTGTCATACGTGCAGTTTTAACAACTATTCATTATTTTCTTAGTTCCATATTAACGACTGTTATTGGAATGCGGAAATCGTCGTGGATTAGAGAGCGGATTTTTAGGTTTTCACAATGTAATATTTTCATTATAAATACGAGTTTATACGGTTCAGGGGCGAGGGGAATGTTGACAATCACAGAATTTGTTGAAGGAAACATTTTATTGTTCATAATTGAGCATATCATCTCCGAGGCCTTGAGAATATTTAGATYGTCATTTTTCATATATTTTTAGGATGCAAAATTGTTTGTGTTTATTGCGAGGAGATTTATWTTATAGTATAAATAAATTAATTGTATAAAAAAAAARACTGAAATCGTTAATTATCTTGTTTGAAAAATTAAAAATTATTGTATATCTACCTACATCGATGGTTTGCAGTATACATTTGAATTGCTTAGTAATCTTGATCACTGCAGGTCCCTCGTTCGTGATTTATAAGTTTTGCACAGCTCGACGAAATCATTAATCAATTACCCGTGTCCTATTTATTATATTAGGTATATGTTCAACCCKCGCAAGAATAATACACGTGTCTAACTTTTAACGTAGTCATGACAATAAAGTAGTAAATGATCAGGTACTCGACTTTTTTTGACTTATGATAAGTATGATGATATAATAAGGTTATCGTAATTACACTGCATGCGAATATTTTTAGCAATAAACATCACTGCTGAGGTGATAAGTGTAATAATATTATATTAACATTTATAATAGTAATGATAGTATAATATACGGCGTGGAACGCGTTTCTCTCGGGGATAAGGYGGCCTCTAGAATTAACGGTCCGGTCGAGTTGTTTCGGATTTTGTCGGTCGACTTTTACCGTTACCATAATATTATTATTATAACGTATTATTCACAGATTGTTCTCGTTGTGTATTCCGTTCGGAGTACCGAACTTTGTTAGTACAATTTTTAAACGCGTCATAATATAATCATAATAATATATACATTGTTTTAAATAATGTTGAAATATGTTGCACGAATAATAATATAATATAATTAGTCATAATTCTATAAAGCGGCCGTGACGTTTTCGGCTTCGAGAAAATGTGTACATATTATATTTTTGCCGATGACTGTGGTGTATATTTTTATTCGACGTAAACCACACGTTTTTATGATATCACCTATAATTTATTGAATTKTTCTCGCGTCGAAGTAACGCCGAGACTATAGACCCGGTTGATTGGTTTTAATATTATTTTTGATCGAATCGACTAGGTACATTGCTAATTATTTATAAAATAATGATTGAAGGGACGGTGAGTGGATAAAGTTGATGATTGGCATTAAAAAGCTGTGGAATTTATTGATATTCAATGTGTAATAATATGAAATAAGAGGATAACTTACTATACGTGTCTAGGGATGCTCTTCAATATTATAGGTGTTAAAAATTTAAAATCCATCATTGTCACTTTGTTCTATAGAGTTAACTCACAGTATCCCACCTTTCATCCATCCACTACAATTGATTCGTCTAATTACACACCACTTAATAAATTTATTATTTCAGCAATCACAATAATAATTACGGAACGATGATAAATGCATTCTCCAAAAAATTCATTTTAACGCTGAATTTATCCGCACTGACCCCTTCAATCGTGTAATGGATTATAATATATTCGTCGATTCAGATGGATTTAATATTATAGTATGATTTAGGCAATACTTATTATATGTATGTAAGCRTGTCGCGTACGAATTTAACTCGCACCATCGTCGGTGGAACGTTATGAGGGCCCTAAATTTTGCGTTAAGTACCCTTAATATTGTTCGTATATAATTATCGCACCAATTTAATACTCGTATACATTATTAAGTGTTTACWCACGCACAGGTACTCATAGGTGGGTACCATTGTGTGAATGTTACCCCAAATTACAAATTATTCCATTCTAGATTATTACTCTATATGTTTACCTCGAACTGATTTATCTTTTCTAGTTTACGGTTCAAGCGATTTTATATTTACAACACTAATTTTAGTATAACTAAGCTAAATTGTTATAAATCATCGGTTATATAATTATTCAAGATTAACAAGATATCACGCTATCAACTTAAGTTTATTTTTATCCTGTACATTTTTAAACATAACTTAAGATTCTGCCTATACGATGACATACAACGTTAATTTAATTTATTCACAGTTTCAAAATGTGTTTGTATCTTCTGTAACTCTGTAACATATTTTCACATGTTATATATATTTTTAATTCCAAGATCTCGATTTATTGAGTATAATGGTTAACTTAATTAAGTACAATTTCAGCACATATTTTATTCGTTAATTAAACGTTGTGTAAAGGATCGGATATGTCAGGTTTAGCACCCCCTCTCACTCCCTCCCACCCWYACGAATTTGAATTCTACTCACTTCTGAATTACACAAGGCTGTCAATCAAAATTCATCACTCGCTTCCTATAATGTATCTCATAAAATAACCACTGCCTAGTCAAATCGTTTGATAAAAACCGTGTATGAAATACGTCGATTTTGTTAACTATAGCATTTGTCATGTAATTTTATGACTGTTAAAACGAGACGTCGCGCCCGCACGATTGAGTCGCATTATATTATATTTTATTTTGATAATTATTATTTTATCGCCGTCGTCACCGAGTCGTAGCGAGATCACTGGTGCAGCAGCAGCTGCAATCAGCTGTAATTGTAATCACTGCAGTTGTCGATTATGTCGACTATGGCGGAAGGACGTAAATAAAACAATCGTTGTCGTCGTAATTTCGTTTACTCTCCAAACACATAATACGTGTATATAATTACAGCGTGTGTGATTTATATAAATAAATAAAATATGTTTCACTAATGACTCGGTTCGATTGAAAAAAATAAAAAACCGGTCCCGGTCAAATAGTTGTTCGTCCACGACTTTTTGACGCGTCGTCGTTGAAATACCAACGCCCAATTTCAAAACGATAACGATGTATAATGGTATAATAATGTGTACAATATTATTATATCATTATTATTATTATTATTATCATCATCATTGTTTTTTAAGTGTTGTCGGACCAGTCAGTGTCCCAGCACAGTATTATTATATCATGTATCGTGACGTCGATATTGTGTTCTACGATGAACACGCAGGTAAAATGTTATTTTTAAAAATCCGTTGTAGTTTCCGAACGATTCTTCGATGCGCTCGCTGTATCGTGTATTATATTTAAACATAATATTCAAATAGAGCATTATTATTATTATTACGATATTATATAAACGTAGGTATAGCAGACAACGGTTGTCATCGCAGCCGCGAGTATTGATCAATATAATATTGTACAAGTTCTCGTGTACAATAAGCTTATAATATTGTTACGTTTAATATAGGATACGTCATCTACGCTCGACCCAATATTATCAAACTCTGATATATCTATTATTATATTATTTTATTATACCTACTCGGAAAATCTTCCGTTTGTACTAMAAAAACGACAACATAAATTTAATAGAATAGAATAAAAATAATAATAATAATAATAATATATATTTTTATTGATCCTAGTACTGCGTATAATAATATGTAATTGGATTACAATAAAGTCCTATTCCGTTCATATGATATTATATTAAACGATATTATTGTATTATGCRATAATTGCATTGAGTAGTGTATTATAATTTTATTATTATTATAACCTATACGTATTTTYTTCGATCATCTAACCTTTGAGAATAATAATTGTTAAACCACTTTACAACCGATCGTGTTCTGCTTCACACCACCACCACCACCGAACCACGATTTGTTGTCCCCAATGTGGTTAACCACAATAACTATAATATACTCAATAACGAAACATACGTGCCCGAGTTGATTAAAATTATTCGACATAATGAGATGGTATTCCGAGACAACTTTACACGTTGAACCGTGATTTCCGGGAAAATGTTTAAAAATTTTATTTTTAAGTCTTATTTMTTTTTGTGTTTTAAATAGTCCTTTCCGTAGAGAGCTTGCGCAGGTCATAGGCTTTTCTGACTCCATAAGAACCCAATACAATAATACTATGCCTCTCTTTAATATTGGTTTCCCTCCGAAACTTTATATTCTATGGGGTGTCCGTTATGGGAGGTTTCACCTATGATCGATATGTTTATAGTTACAATATTATATTATACTTGCAGTGCATATAAGATGAAATGTTTTTATGTAATCGTGTTTTTATTATTGATTCGCAGGGTACTACCAACCGGCCGGGCCGCTGATCACACACCACCTGGTGCCACACCACGTGCACTTGCACCACCCGTCACACGTGAAACAGTCGCTGGCCCCACCTTTGGTGCCCACACCACCGTCGTCGGCCGGCACTGCCGCACCACCGCCCGCCGAGTCGTCCGACACCGAAGTGGTGCCGGTCAGATCAACGTCGGTCCCGACACCGCCCGGTTATCGATACCAGCCGCAGGGACCGTACCATCCACCGCCGCTGCCGTCGTACTACCCGTCGCCGCCGGCATCGGCCAGTCTCCAGTATCCGCCGCCGCCACCACCACAGGTGCCGGCCCACCACTACCTACCGGAGCCACCCAACCCGTGCGCGTATCCAGGCGGGCCGCACCACCAGCCCGGCTACTTCCATCACAGCCGTAGCTCGCCATACCACCACATACCGTTCCACCACAGACGGCCGCCGGCAGCGCCTTACGGACAGGCCGGTGGACCGCCCACGTACTATCACGAGTACTACGGGCCTCCGCCACCGGGACAGCCGCCGGCGCCAACCGGTTCGCCAGCGGTACAACAGCAGCAAATGTTGGTTGCCATCACCAGGCCCGGCGTTGACCGGCCGGATCATCATCCGGCAGCGCCGCCGCCGCAGCAGCAGCAACCACAGCCGCAGCCGCCGACGCCGCAGCAGCACCAACAACACCTGCAGCACCAGCAACACCTGCAACATCTACAGCAGCAGCATCACCACCAGCAGCAGCAACAGTCCCTGCCGCCGCCGGACACTTACCCGGCGCCGCAACCACTTTACTACTCGCCCTACGGTGCGCCGCCMGGGCCGTCTTGCTACTCGTCTGCCCCACCTCGCACCTACGCCGTAGACCCAACGTACCATTCGTGTCCGTGCCCAATGCAATCGTGTCCCAATCCAAAAAACGGACATACTGGCCCGCTTACTGGTGCAGTCAGTAAGGGGCCAAAACATCATTCGACAGTAGTTACACTTCCGCCTGTGGCATTGGCACTGCCGCAGGAGCCTCCGCGGGCCCACGGCCCGCCGAGCCCAGCCAGAGGGAGCGCCGGCGTGCCCGGACCACCGCGGTCCGCGAACTCCGGCAGCCCGTGCAAGCAAGTACCGTGGTGCATGAGTCCGCTGAGCCCAGCCCGCGCGTCTGTGCAACACCTGGCCCCCCAGTCCCCGGCTATGCTGGCCGCCAAGAACCCCACCTCCGAGTGGAACAACATCGTCGCCGAAGAGAAGTGCGATACCACCGGCCTGTTGGCCATCGGCAAAGTCCTCAGCCAGTCCGTACTGGGTCTGGACCAGCCGATCGACCATCACGAAGTCGTTGTGCCGAAAGTCGAACCTATCGACGACGAGCAACAGCCACAATCGTATTACACGCTCAAGGTGGACATGGCCAGCGAAGGGGACGGCGATTCCGCGTCTKCGGCCGACGACGACGGTGGTCTTCATCAGACTATCGACTTGTCGACCAAGTCGCGAGAACGCCTGGAAGTGACTACTACTGTATACTGCAACCCACCGGTCAACAACAACGACAATATCGACAATAACAACACCATCAGCAACAACAACAACAACAACAACAGTTATTATAACATAAACGTAGACGGCGACAAAATAGTGATGAAGGGATCCGCGAAAAGGAAGAAACCCAATCCTATGCAGATCGTATTGGCGAAAAAATCGAAAATACAAGAAGAAATCGAAGACGTGGACGGTAATGGCGACGAAGACGCGGTTGCCATTGTCGTCCGCGAAGATGAAGACGACTGTAAAGAAAACGTAGAAGAGACGACTATGACGACGGCGGCGCCAATGACCACGTCTACTTCGCCGACATTGATGGAAGACGAACCTCCGGTGCAGCCGATAACCGCGGTCAACCGGAAGAACAGCATCAAATCGACGGAGCTCAAGTCCGAACAAGAGAAATTGGACGAGTGCATGACCGAAGAGATTTTGCGGTCGGTGTTGACGGACGAGAGCGACGGTGACGACATGATCACCGAGGCTTTTGTCAAGAAAAAAGGCGTGTCAAAGAAAACGAAAAAAGGCAGAAAAGACCGGAAAAACGGAGGGAACAAGAAAGAAATGACCGGTGAGCCAATGATTATTTTTATATTTATGATTATCCTTTAATAAGGTACCGTCCGGCCAAAGTCGGTTTTTGGCCTTGGACGGTTGCAAATGTTGTAAATTATTATCAATAAATTACTTTTCTTTTCGGGGAGGATGAAGGCCTAGACGGCACTTGTGCTAAATCTGGCCCTTGATGTGCGTACCAAGGGGTATGCAGCTGTTTCCAAATTTTTTATAGGCCGGAGGGATGGCTCCATCCAATGCGTAAAATGAACTAGTATTTTAGTATTTATTAAAACATAATATAGTTAATATTTAATAGTATTACAATAAATACCGTTATTGATTTTTTGTGAGTGAGCTGGTTATTGGGTGGTATATCGTATATCGGACAATCATTTAAAGTTTTCCACGCCAYWGGACTAGCGTGTTCGTATAATATGGTAGTGATGGGTAGTAAAATAATATATTGGATCTCGCTATATATGTGGACTGGTTTTTTTCTTTATTTCATTCATCGCAATATGGTTATTTTTGTTTCTCATATGTACCAGATGCTATGAAGAGGGAACTAGAACAGAAGATGCGTGAAGAGTTCGCGCAGCTGTCCCGGCTCAAGAACCAAGACCTGGCGCCCAGGTGGTCCAACGGTTGGATATGGCAGGGAAAACCGTTCAAACGTCCCGTTTACCTTGAGGTATGTAACGAAAAACCCTATCACTACATTTATTATAATTTATGACCGTTTAAAAATTCATGAATATCGTTTAGAAAGTTTATTTTACTGATGATAGAAATAAAAAGCTACGATAAAATAAGACTAGTTCATTCCAATATTTTCAATTACTTTCGTGTACCCTCGGCAACACAATTAACAATTATTTTTACCGTTTAAATATTTCCACTGTAAGATATATTATTCTGAATTAATAACTAAGAAATAATGAAATACTGGTRGACGAAGGTAAACCGTGTGCAATTAAAATTATTTTATATAACAACTTTTTATCCCAAATTAGAAATGTTTCAAGAGAATTTGATAAAAACAARATATCCGTGGATAAACAGCATAATATTATCTTGAAATTAATTGAATTTATATCTTTCGCACTTTATATTGTATGTATTTATACTGCTGAGTGATTATATATTTAATATTTAAAATAATTAAAATCCTTTTCGATATCTTGTGTAGGTCAAGACTTATATATACGTTTTACGTGTTATATCGGGTGCCTATATTATATATATTTAGTYGTTTACCTATCTAGGTAAATRCGTTTTCCATAACCTTTGTTCTTGCATTCTATTTTACATATTATTTTAACTTAACGCGGAAAACCGTAAGGGTATGATTATAAGACTATCCTTTGAAAACACATATTACTTTTTAATGTGATTAATAATCACCATACAGCTTAACGTATATATATATATCGGACACTTGAACACTAAAATCTGTTGTTTTTTGCCCCAAAAAAATGTCCGATTTTTGGATACCTATTTCACTGTATTTAGTGTTTAATCTGTATAATTATGTTATAGACGATTCCGAGAGTGGGATAGAATAATATTATGCGTAATCGTAGTTAAAAAAAACAATAGGTAATATTAATATCGTGTTTTTGTCGGTGCACGCAGAACGACGATACACCAGTGTTGAGGAAATGTTACCCGTGCATGCGTCACATGCAAGGCGACACCATATACGCTAGGGACTGTGTACTTCTCAAGTCAGGTTCTCGGAAAAACGATTTGCCGTTCATCGCCAAAATCGCCAACTTGTGGGAAGACCCCGTCAACGGTAAGTTCTACATTATTATGATTATTATTAGTAGTTTTAATAGTTGTAGTAGTAATAGGGCACAATACTTGTAGCCATAAAAAATCACCAAACATGCATTTTTGAAAGAAAAACAAGAATATATTTATTTATTTTTYATATATTATATTAAACTGAATTTATTATTTTGAATTACATAATTTTATTTGTTTTGCATGTTACAACTTATTAAATTTTATTGTGATTTATAAAATGATCGGGCTCCTTGGAATAACGTGTGCTAGGACCAGTTAAAAACCATAATACAACAAAAATAAGGAACAAATTAATGTTTTGGTTGTATAATTATTTAAAATAAAAACTTCAGACGAGAACAAAAATTGATAAAATCACTTGATAAGTTAATATACTCGTATGTATGGAATTTTTTTCTGGGATTCATTATTATTATTTGTTTTTATGTGTCATCACGTGACCAACTATACGGGTTTAATATAGAATAATTTAAATAATTTGTAATGTTGAAATAAAAATACCCTCTCAATAAAAGTTGGCTTAACACATCGCCTGCTATTAGAATACTGTTGGAGGTCGGGTTGCTTTTATTGTAGGTACATATTATGTAATCTAAAATTTGCACCCGCGTAAAAAAAGGTAATGATTGAATTTCATTAGAACTTTTTTTGGCATTCCTTGAATAGTTAGTGTAAACAGTGGAATTTGTATTTTTCGATACAACACGGTTGTGTTAAATGAAACCTAAATCAATGTACTTTACACAAACGGAAAATTTCATGGATATATATCACATTGTGGATTGGTTGAGTTAAAACCGTTTAAAATTGTTTAGATAGGCATTCAAACGTTAAATCAAATATATCGCACACTTTTCATGAATTATTATTTAAATAGGTGGTTTCATCGTATGTAGTGTGTGTGTGTTTTTTTTATATGCTTTGAAGTATTGCTACTACTAATGGAATGCAATTATAATTATTACGAACTGTATAATATGTTGATAAATTATTCAACAAGTGAATTATACATTTTATGAAAAAAAAAAAAATTAACATTACAGAGAGCCGTCAGTGTAAAACGAATGTGTAATTATGTAAAATGTTTAATATTCGTAAAAAAACTCAATCGTTTATACTTTCTTAACAATTTGTAAACTCAGCATCACGAAACTTCGAAAAGTGTGTAATAATATATTGTGTATCTAATACCCATATTCACAACGTGTACCAACTACAAATAGACGACGAATAAAAACCAATTACCTGTGGACCGTGGTTGTTATTTTATAGCTTAAAATGATTTAAAATGGTTGTTGATTACACATGTATGTCACCATATTATAATTATTATTGATTGATAATTCAAGTAATATTAAGTATTAACCGAGTATCTTCTATTAAATATTTCGGCTTTGATTTTGAGTTACCATTAAAATGCATTGCGATTCATTGAACACAACAAACTTGTTGTTGTTACCCGTCTTACGTGATTGCTTTTCCGTGAATTTTGGGTACCTCGGTAAAAGTTTGCCTTGATGAATTGCTTAAAATAAAAATATTCTAAAGAATAGCCAAAAAAAAAATAAAATAACCAATAAAATCCAATTCCATCATTTGAATATTGTATAATACAAGATATTTTGAATATTATAATGAAAATAATGATTGGGTTATTCCGTTTCACCGTATATAATTGAAAACATATTCCTCATTGGATTAATAAAAATAACGAGTTAGGGTCACTTAATAGTTGTTCGATGTTGTACCCTATTTTTTATGACAAATAATAATATATACCCAAGCGTATAGCTATTCGACTGTTCCCGATTTATGCGTACTACGAATATTACCAACGAGTGCAAATCGACCAGATGAGTGGTATATATAATATCGATCGTTTGCTACAAAATAATTACAGCGGCAGTGATTTGAATTTTGGAATACCTTCCCCTCTCGGCCGGCCCTCACATTTATTCAAAAATATATTATCGGATACTACTTAATTGTATTACGAAGATTGATGACGGTGACTACGGCGGAGAGTATAGTGCGTGAGCTCCCTACGATTTATATTTAAAACACCCGCACACACTCCCCAAAAAGAAACCTGGCTACGCGCCCGAATGATAATAATAATATACTGTAAATATTATATATATATATATATATATATATTAATTTACTCGTTTTAACCGTTGTTAATGTATGACGTGTGTTCGCAGGAGAAATGATGATGTCACTGCTGTGGTACTACAGGCCAGAACACACGAAACAGGGACGGTTGAAGGAAGACATGCCCGACGAGCTGTTTGCTTCCAAGCACAGAGACGTCAACAGCGTGGCGTGCATCGACGACCGGTGTTACGTGTTGACGTTCAACGAGTACTGCAGGTCCGTGTCTTATCTATGTCGTATTATATCAAATTATATGCCGATATCATAATATCGTAATTATTTGCTGAAACTTTTCTCCGGACCCGTTGACTCGAAACTTATCACCGCGTGCCCTGAGTATKAACTTGACGAGTAGATAAAGACAGTACATCACCAAAACCACATCCGGGGTGCTTCCAGTTAGGGTCACATAAACTCTTATACTCGGCCGATCGGTTTGATTTTACATGAAATACTCGTATTACGATTTAATCTAGATCAGGCCGAAATGTTGGCATTCCAGAATTCAATGGTAGTATACCGCGCGAGATTCGGTAATTATTACTGTATTGTTACAAAATCACCGTCGATATTTAAATTTTTAATATTTATATGTAAAAAAAATTAGTTTTTTTTATTTATTTCGTTACAATGGGACCGAGTTTGAATGATGTACTCAATATAATTCCACATAACGTGGACGTTCTAGATCAAGCGGATCTCGCATCATAAATTTTTGAATGAATTCTTAATTTTCCCGAGAATCGCCAAAAATATATTATCATACCATTTATACCGGTGTGGGCTGCTATGGACATTTTAAATGATGTAAACCTTTTTAGTTTGGGATAAATCCACTGGCGCATAAGATGTATAGATTTAAGGTAGTCTATAGAAAAATCGACGCATTGTCAAACACCGATTATAAACGCTTTTAATTAAATAATTAAACCTACTGACACAGTTTATTTGTATCGGGTTCAACCATGTTTTTGATACCTATATACGACTCTGCTACCCTACCTGCAAATCGATTATTTATAAACTACAATTTGACTGCGTGCATTCAGCTTTCACCCCCGTCGATAAATATCTAGTTCGGCATAATCATCGGCATTGGACTATTATCTGCAGTGCCTTGACCTAATAGGTTAAGTTTTTACCAAAGTATTAACCCTGTGTAATTAATTATTATTATTTCTATTCTATTTTCGACTCCAAAACCGCGTGTTACGAGTGTGGGGCGTCCATATTATTGTATCGTCATTCGTCGTGCATATTATAATATGGATGGTCCAACTCGGCGATTTTTATTATTAAACTCCGTCACCTTCGCTACAATAAAGTATTAACATCGATGGTCTCCACGAAATTTTTCATAATAATATACTGATTATACGRCGCAAAAAAAGTAAAAAATAAATAAACAGTAATCCTTCCCATTTACGATAATACAGGTCGCGACTTTTACACCTAAWTTCCATAAACTTGTGACGAATGTATTGTTCCCGAACGACACGCTACTCTTTCGTAACAATAATACTATAATCTGATAGAATATTATTAATTGTAATGTACTAAYGTATATCACCTCCGCCACGATATCGGTTCGATTTATTTAATAATAATATTATTATTTTATAAACACTAGAAATATAATGTTATTATGATTGTATTTAGTATAGGTGTTTTTTTGCCACAATATTGACCTAATAATAATAGTAGATATATACCTATAATGRACGACGATAGCATACGTCATTTCTGGTAATATCGATTTTCGTCAACAACAACAATATAGTAAACAGTACTATGGTATTTATTTTTATGGTACGCATAATAATAGGTATTTTTTTCGACTTGACGTTTTATTTTCTTCCTGATATTCGCTCTTCACAATATAGATAAATACTTTTGAATAATATATATTATGCAGCATTGGATAAAATCACACAATATTAGCAAATGATTCAAGTTTAAAAATACCTATCGAACAATTATCATAATTTCAAATTGATAAAGGGCGTTCTAAAAAATTATTAAATCTATTGAATTTGTCAATTGAGGGTTAAAACACAAATACAACTACATTATTCATATAATATAACTATGTACAACAAAACTACAATCACTGCAAGTGAGAAACTGCAGTCCACGGTTGATATTTTCAGTTGGTTATAATAAATTTATTTTAAATACTTTATAATATAATTTTATTGAGCTGATGGTATTATATTTTTATTTTTAGACACTTAACTATATATAATGAACGCATATATTTGATGAAATTCGGGAATTAAATCGAACCATCGMAATCGCCATATAATTATAATGTAATCCTTAYATAAATTTTGACCGTCGGTTTTTCTACCCAATAAATTACCATCGATGGTGGCGCTCATAATTATAATATAATTTATGGTTTTTCGCTCAATTCTCGCTTGTAGTTTGCACACAGCAAAAGCGCACTCGGAAATCGCCAAGTGCAAACATCATAATAATATAGTCCTCTAATGTACGTGGGCCACGTCGGTGTGTGTGTCATTGGTTTGTCATAAAAACATTATTATACTCYAAATGAAGATAAAATAAAAAATCCGCACACGTCATCGACGGCGGCGGCAAATAGCTTGTCCGTCTGCGCACAAACTAATGCGATTCGAAATACCATTGCGGATAATAATAATAATATTTTATAAAAGATGATGGTTTCTCGAACACCGTGGACTTGGAAAGATTCGAACAGTTCAAAGTTCGTCGGAAATTAATACTCGAAATCAGTGATTAATATCGGTAAAATACGATTGCTCGCATTTTACCTTTTTCATAATACGATTGCKCACATTTTAATGGGACAATAGAACATACATTTTGGGTAAGATATATGCACGATTGCTCGTAAAACTTCATGTGATGTTGCCAAACTATGCATAATTTAATTTAGTAGTACTATATAAAAAAAAAATTGAAGGAAATTTAATTTTGCTTGATCTAAGAATTTTTAATAATAATTTAGTCAAAATTCATACAGATTCAATGCAATTAAGAATAAAATAGACGAACAAATCATAAAATGCATATAAAAAATATCCTAATATGTTAATTAATGTATACCATCAAGGCATCAACAGTCAAAAAATAAAACGAGATTATAATATTATTTTTACAATTTTTTAGGTTTATAAAGCTGGCTTTATTGGTTAGGTTATGTTCTGGCTAATTTCACTTAAATAAATAATTACTTCGTCAGGGGTGTTGTTATTTTTATAATTATTATATAAACTAATAGTTTTATTATTGAGTAGCTTATCTTTTTTTGCCATTTTAATAATAGAACCTTGTGAAAATGTAGGTAACTCAACTACATACATATGAGTATATGGTGGGAATTCAAAATTACGATAAAAAATGAGATAATCAGATAAATACGACAATAATTATTATCTTAGAATTTKTATCATCGTGTTATTAAATTTGGCAACATTGCACGATTGTGTAATCGTATTTAACACGCGCAATCGTAAACCAAAAGGGTACGCGCGCAATCGTATTCTACCCATTAATATTATTATAATTTATAATATGTTTTAAGAGTTTGCACTTAAAAAATAGGTACAGACTATACTTTTGTTTAAAACTTAATTTAAAGTTCGAAAAAAATTCTTGTTAAACTATATTGATTCCAATTTGGTTTCAAGTTCAAATACAAATTCGAGTTCGTGAAAATTTAAGTTCGACCAATCCCCAAATATTATTATCGTTTATCGTTGCGTTTTAGGGCTCGTACTACGGTAAATACTATAGTTTGTTGTTGTTGTTGTTGTTGCTGCTGTTGTAATCGTTGTTTTTATATTTATTATTATTATCAGAGGTCCACCGTCCGACTCATCTGCCTGCCATCCGGTGCAGTACTTAACCTAAAATCGTACATCGATTAAGCACGCTCTGCCGTCCTCGCAGGTTTTGTATCGCGAATGACCGCTTGTGCGTGATGTATGATAATTTTTAATATTATTAGACAAAACTATCTATTTTACCTAAATGACTTAATGTATATATTTAAATATTATTCAATTCAATTTTTGTGGTTTTTGAAAACRGATGGCCATTTTATTTGATTTTTTTCCTTTTGTTTCATCAACACTGCAATCCATATAAATTGGATGCGGGTAGGATGGTTTTTTTCTAAGCCCTAAAATGACTTTTAATAGGACTAAAGGACTTGAGTAAAAACAAACAAATGGTTTCGATTTCGATGAATAAATTATTTGGGCTGCAACATGTTTGCGCACATTCTACAATTTTTACCTGAAAAATCGGAACTTGTTTGCGCACACAGTTATATTAAATGTAAAACTGGTTTGCGCACACGAAAATAAGGAGTAATAGGAGTCAATAGAATCAGTCGACAGTCGAACATCGCATAAACTTATGGACAAGATATAGATCTGGCGAAATAGACCAAATGAAATACATAAAAATAATGGAAAACTGTTTTTACGGGAAATAATATTGACACGTTTACCAATCATATTATATTAAAATTTACACAAACAAGTATTATATTATATGCATTTTTAACATAATATAATAAATTAATTAACAATTATTATTAAAAAGCAAGTATTAACATGCATTTTTAACATAATATTATAAATGTATTAACAATTATTATTAAAAAGCAAGTATTAACAAGCATTTTTAACCATACCTATGAATATATTCATAGACAGTCCTAGCTAAGTCTGGTAAGTGAGAAGGAAAATGTATTTAAGTACTTAAATAATTTACTTATAAACAAACAAATATTAATATGGTAGGTATTAAACTATTAAGGTCTAAAAGGTTAGGCTAAAAGGTAACTGTGCGCAAACCATGTGCTTGGTTACGGTTCAACTGTTCCCRAACGAGTGGTAGTTTTGTGCCCAAATCAGTTGTCTTTTTGGTATTTCTGCGCAAACCAGTACCGCCCATTATTTGTGCCCGTTGTGCCACTGCAAACATCGATCGTCAATGCTCATAAACTGAGAGTTAGGCGAGTTAGCCATTGCCAAAAACAAAATTAAAATCACTTGTMACTAATAGTGTGTGGTGTGGCCAATTTAAATACATTTGCAACGCGCACATCGAACGCGATCATAATAATGTGGCCGGTGTTTTTTTTTTTTACGAGGATTATATTATTACATGATGTTTGCACTTGGCGATTTCCGAGTGCGCTTTTGCTGCGTGCAAACTGCAAGCGAGTAACCGTAAATTATATATTATGTAATTATGAGCGCTCCCGTCGATGATAATTAATTATTGTATTGTTAAAATATCATGGACGTGATGATGGTCCGTCATTGATGGATATCGGATCGGTTGCATTTCATTTTTGCTAGTTTTACGTACGAATTATATTCGTGTTTACAATCGTTTACTGGTAGTGCGTAGTATACTAGCGAATAATTATGATGTTATTATTATTATAATAACCTCTCACGGGAAATTGACATTGACAAGAAATAATAATAACAAAATCACTTTTCGCGTCACTGTAATATGCTGTAGCGGGCGCCAAGCGTTGGCCTCGGGGCAMCTGATCGAAAAGCAAATCGTTGTACCTACGCCTAATCCGATTAATTGTTTTTTGATTTCGGAGATTTCGAACACCCTCCGTGAACCCTGCGAAACAGTCATCGACTTTAAAAGTACGTCMTATATATCACGAGGGTGGACTTGAATTATTTCTCCAAACATTTTTCGTGTATACGATCTGGGTGTGTGTGTGTATGTGTATACTTATGCCGCAGGCTGTTAGTATAGCTCATATTATATTATATAGAAAATTGAAAACGTCAGTGGAAATAAATTGTGTCGAGTGCGCCGCCGTCAACTCAACTGATTTCGTGTATTATATATATATTGGGATTGGTTATATATAGGCTCATATATTTATATAAATATTTACTACGTATATGATAGGGAATCGTAAATTTCAGTGGATACGAAAATATTCCAAAATCAACGAATTCGCACGTTTATTTTAAAAATTTCAAATACAAAATAAGCTTGTATATTAATACAATTCAATAATATATCAAAGTCTTRAAAACAAAAACCTTTACCATGTATAGTAAATATTATAATAGTATTATACAATCAGCTGAATCGGCCAAARACAGCTCTCGTTGTTTAGAAGATAACCACAATATTATGCTATTGTATTAATTGAAATAAAATCTCAAATTTTATTAACCCAAAATTAATCTGCAGGGCTTGTTGCTTTCAATATATACATGTGAATATGTGGTACTTTCAGGTTTAAAATTAATTATGAAATGTCCATGAATCATTGTATTTTTAATACAGGTGTAAACGAGTAGCTCTGAGTACGTGTATTTTATAAAAAGGATATTCGAAAGATTATTTGAAATCTGTTGTTACTGCAGTAAACCAGCGAAAAATTAAAAAAAATGATCACTGCCATCATTGTCTAAAACCACAAAAATATTATTGTTCGTGTCAGAAAAGCGGTCATGTCRACTTCSCAACAATCTTTAATATAATTTTATATAAAAAGAAACACTGCACTATTATTACATTTCGCTGATCACACCCCTTGCTGAAATAAAGCGGCAACCATAAACAATGCTCGATAATTCAAAGTTTGATTATTCGAAACTTTTGGTAATTCCGAGTAATTTTGCTCGCTCTCTAAAAATTTCTCGGTAATTGGAATAACACCATTGCATTTAGGTACAATTGGTAATTCGTAGTAAAATTTTAGGAAAAACAAGTCGTCAATAACACGCACGACAATATTCCAAGTTCAACGCTCGGCCAAGTGTATGTTYGCCCAAATTATATTTCTTATAATCTTATCGTTAATAATTTACCTTACAACTGTGTGTGAATTTATAGCTTATTATTTCCAATAACTAGGTAATTCGAATTATTTGTTCTGCCCTTTTGATATTTTGAACCCTTGGTAATTCGAAATTTTTTTCGCGAGTCCCACCAACTTGGAATCGTCGTGAGTCATCCACAGCAGTAATAATATATTATTATATGCGTATACATACGATTGACTTCAGTTTCGTCCATTTTGTGCGGTCTAACGTAACATTATAATATGCAAAACTTTCTTTAATTTATTTTGAACGCTAGTTGGGTAGGTGTATAGGTTGATATTTACATAGAACAGCCGCCTGTCAGCCCACTAAGGTATCCCAGTCGCATATCGCATCGTGAGATACTCTTAATAATGATAATAATGATTTACGCCGCACAATTCCCACCAGAGAATTCAAATGCGAAAAGGTCGCCATTTGGGTTTTGTGGGGAATTAATTCGAGAGCGTTCGTTAATAATACGAACGTCATCTCGGAACACCGATCAACTGACACGATGGGTACGACACTTTTATTGTGTACATAATATTATAATGCACAGTTTTATTTGCTCGTGACAAGACACGTGTTATGAACAAGATCGAACAAGTACGTTCTACTTATTGAAACTACCGCAATGTTTGAATTTGTGTGAATGACAAGAATTTTGTGTTTCCTCGAAGGCTTACCCGCCAATTTCAAGCGACAAATTTACAATTGACGGTACGTCAAAGCAGTACAGTAACCGCTGCAGTAATATTTATATGATATTATTATTCAATCAAATGTGGAATATAGAATTCWTAACAATATTTGAGCCTTTGGATTTTAAAGTAAAAAATTGAAATCGATCGGTAAAGATCGCGGACTGAAAATCGTGACATTACACATTGTTATGGATTCCAAAAAACCGCCGTCGTGGWGATGATTTTTTACTCTACAAAATCGTATATAATAATATTATATTATTATAATAAGCGTAATTGTCGAGTGTTTTATATTAAAAGCAATACGACCGTATCATATAATATAATATTATGATATCACATGACCGATYTGACGATATTACTTGCCGCGCGTATTGCGTATTGCGCAATATTATGCTTGCCAATTAAAGTTTTTTTTWAAATCCAATCCTCCCCCCACACACATAACTAAGACCAAAACTCTCTTATATACGCAACTACTGTGTACTTATTAGCTAAAGATGAGAATACCTAGCCCCCCCATGTTTATTTCGAAAATTCGAAATGGACACAAAAATGACCATACTAGCTCTGTCCAGCGAGAGAACTCGCCGGTTTTTCCCCCCTCCCCTGGCGATCACCCTGCTATCGAAACTGGTTCCCCTATGGCTGGGCGTCGCGTTGAGATGCGTAAAAAAACATCAAAATTTAGTCGGTACGCGGCGCGTTCTCTCGCTGGATAGAATATGATAATAATATGTAGATTAGCGTTTGACGGTACATGCCAGTTGCGGTATATACAATTAAAAACGTAGGAATATTATAACCTCTCCCCCCAAAAAAAAAAATTTTAAAAATGTCTTCTCAAGTTCAGCCTATGATTACGTATTATTATTGCAGTGACACTAACAATCATTGAATTGTATATTATAATATCATAATATATTATTATCATGAAAATCAACTAACCATATTGTGTTTCTGTTTTCGTCACTTCGCAGGCACCGGAAGCACGTGAAGTCGGTACAAGAGAACTTGGTGCTGTGCAAGGCGGTGGTGCCGCCGTTGCGCGAGGCCAACCCGCGGGCCAGACAGCTGCCCGGCGACGGCGCGCCGGCCGATCTGATATTCTTCTGCCGCCGCGTGTACGATTGCCGGCAGAAACGGCTGCTGAAGAAGCCGACGCTCTGACCTAGACGCCTCCGCCGCGCCATCGTCCTCCTCGCCGCGCACCATCGCCGACGCCGTCTCCGCGGTTTTTCCACGCCRCGGTCGTCGTGCWTATATTATTTATTATTATGACTATTTTACTATTATTACGTGTACCGTTTCGATATTTGTATTCGCTCTTTTCTTAAATTATTATTATTATTATTATTTTATTGTCGAACGTTGCACGACGAGATGCTACGCGCGACATCATAATATTACATTATATATTATCTGTACGACCGATTTATGGGCAACAAAAAAAAAAAGAAAATTTTTTTTTTTTACCGTTTCGTGTTCTCGCGAAGCCCGAAATAAACCCCTCCGGACGGGATCGTCGGCCCCGAGACTAAAAACGGATAGCTATAGTATAATAATATTATTTTGTATATACATATACTATTATTATGTGTGCAACGCCTGCTGTATGTGACGATCGGGAGAGAAATTTTTTTGTATTTTTGAAAGACAAATTATTTTAAGATCGAAAGCGTTTTCGACAGCGGGCAGGGTTCTAKACGAGAGATTCCCAATCGCCTCATCAACGACGAGTTCGTGTATTAATGTGTAAAACGAAATTATTATTTTATTGCGTATTATTACGCAGCCGATTTTACTCTTTATATTTTTTTTATCAAAAAATCGTTTTTGACGGAAAATTGTCTCGCCACTCACCCGCAATCGCGCGTTCGTCGTCTGCTGCGCGCTACATTATAATATTATATGTATAATAAT